ATGAACCCCACTAAATCCTTCCTTGGAATGTCCAGCGAAAAATTCCTTGGGTTCGTCGTCACCACTAAAGGTATACATATCGATCCTGATAAGGTGAAGGCGATACATGAACTGCAACCCCCTAGAAATCTAAGAGAGCTCAGAGGATTGCAAGGGCGTTTAGCTTACATCCGGCGGTTCATTTCGAATCTTTCTGGGAAGTGCCAACCGTTCTCCAAGCTAAACAAGAAAGGCGTGTCATTTATCTGGGACGACGCCTGCCAAAAAGCATTCGAAGATATCAAAACATATCTAGCGAATCCTCCTGTTCTCGTTGCACCAAAATCAGGTAGACCGTTCTTGATTTACATCAAGGCGATGAACCACTCGATAAGTGCCTTACTAGCACAAGACGATGATAATGGTCACGAACAGGCAGTCTATTACCTAAGTCGGACCTTGGTAGGCACCGAGTCTCGATATCCGATGATTGAGAAAGAATGCCTCGCATTAGTATTTGCAATGTAAAAGATGCGGCATTACCTGGTCGGCCAGACGATTTACGTCATTTCCAATGTTAATCCAGTACGGGTATTTATGACGCAACCGGCCTCTATGAATTGGCGGTTAGCAAAGTGGGCCCTTCTCTTGTCCCAATATGATTTGCACTTCAAACATCAGAAGTCGATCAAAGGACAAGCGATTTGTGATCTTCTGGCGACAAACCCGACCACTGAAACCCACGAGGTTAACACCACATCGCACCAACAAGTATGGCAATTATACTTTGATGGTGCTTCGAGGGCAGTTAATAGGGTAATAACCCCGGGAGGTTCTACAGTTTCCTCCGGGGTTGGGGTTGTCTTAATTTCCCCGGGGAAGCATGTGATGCCTCGGGCCTATTCATTGACTAGTCCGTGTTCCAATAACGTAGCTGAGTACAACGCACTTCTCATTGGACTTAGTTTCGCCAAAGAACTGGGGGTTGAATATCTCGAAGCTTTCGGGGATTCTCAATTGATAGTCAACCAAGTCCGTGGAGAGTATGAAGTCAGGAACCAAGACCTGATCCCGTACCACCAGGAAGTCATCAAAATGGCAGAATATTTTAAAGAATTCTTTATTGAATACATCCCTCATCTCCAGAACGCTTATGCGGATGCACTGGCACCACTAGCGGTATCACTTGCGCAGCCTCCTGAAACTGAACTATTAGTCACAGTAAGGACGCATCAGCTCTGCATACCCATATACGATATGGATATTGAAGAAGAAGATGACGGAAACATAAACGCCAAGGAGGTGAATTCAACCCAAATTGGGTCTGAGTCCCGAGATTGGCGCTTTCCTATCATTGACTACGTCCAATATGGTATTTTGCCAGAGCATGTAAAAGAAAGAGAATCAATCCGCCGAAGAGCGCCAAGATTCTTCTATAATACCGAGACCCATATGTTATACCGTAGAGGGTACGATGGTTTGTTACTCCGATGCCTTTCGAACAAAGAAGCAGAAGAAGTTCTTAAGGAAGCACACGAAGGAGAATGTGGTGCGCATCAGCCCGGTCCCAAACTGTATGACCGCATCAGGAGAATGAGATATTTTTGGCCAACAATGGTTCGTGACGCGATCGAATACGCCCGAGAGTGTCATGCTTGTCAAATACATGCAAATTATATGCATCAACCACCAGAGCATTTACACACGTCAACCACGTCTTGGCCGTTTGAGACATGGGGCATGGACATTGTCGGTCCCATTTTTCCCCTTCAGTCAAATGTGATCGATTCATTCTCGTAATCACGGATTACTTTTCAAAGTGGGCTAAAGCGATCCCGCTTAGAGAAGTGAAGACGAATAACGTCATCAGTTTTATCAAACATCATGTCATCTACAAAGCGATCCCGCTTAGAGAAGTGAAGACGAATAACGTCATCAGTTTTATCAAACATCATGTCATCTACAGACACGGCGTGCCAAGACGGATCATTCATGACAACGGTCCATAGTTCATAAGCAACACCTTCGTCAGGTTTTGTGATAAGTTCAAAATTGAAGATGTTTCGTCGACAGCTTATTATCCCGCAACGAATGGATTAGCTGAGGCGTTCAACAAGACGATCAATAAGATTTTGTCAAAGCTCGTGAAGACCAATAAACGAGACTGGGACGATAAACTCGGTGAAGCACTCTGGGCTTATCGCACCACCATACGCACACCCACAGGGGCCACCCTATATTCGTTGGTATACGGATGTGAAGCTGTGCTACCATTGGAGATTCAAATCCCATCCCTTCGGATCGCTCTCGCAACCGAGATGACGACAGAATGAGTTGTATCAAGCCAGAATATCTAGGGCTTTTAACAAGAGAGTCCGACAGATAAGCTTCAAGGAAGGAGATCTGGTCCTCGCTGCTCGCCGACCGATAATCCTCAACTCCAAGAAGAAAGGTAAATTTGAACCCAAATGGGAAGGGCCGTTTGTGATAGACACAGTCTACTCAAACGGCGCATATCGCCTGATTACTCAAGAGGGCGCCAGGCAATTAATGCCAATAAATGGGAAGTTCCTGAAAAAGTACTATCCCTAGTACATTCAGGATAACCCATTTACCAGGAAGTTCCTTGAAGAATATTACACTTAATATTCTAGAGGATAACCCAAAATCATTTTTCACCACCAAAATCCCTCACGGATCAATTCCAATTGACAGTGGGTCCACCAAAAAAATGTCTTTCTGGCCCTCTTGACTCTTTTCATGAACAAGAGGTCCACCTTCAGTTCGGAGTCTCCTTTCGATAAACGAAAGAACTCCCTTCTCTTTCTCTTTGGTCAAGCCTTCCCATGGTTATAGCCAAAGTTGAAATTCCACTTCGATAAACGAAGAATTCATTTTCAGATTAGATAACCAGTCCTATAAAATGTAAGTTTATCTAGATCTTCCAGATTCTCAGAGTGGAGATCCCACTTCTAGTTTCTTTTGCGCTGGAAATAGAATATAAAATTCTTCCTTTCCAGAATCAGGGAATAGAATATAAAATTCTTCCTTCCTTGTATTCGGGTTCGCCTTCACCCTAAAAGAAGACCGGGAAATAGAATATAAAATTCTTCCTTTCCCGCACCAACCTTTTCTAAGAATCTATCAATCTAGGATTCATCCTAGGAAGTTTATCCCGAATCCTAAGCAGGGATAAGTCTGCGCCTAACACGCGCTGCCGGTTTAGTCTTTTCCCGCACAAAAAGACACCAGAGTCTGATTCTGGGGTATTTTATCCTGAAACCTAAGCAAGGATAAGTCTGCGCTTAACCCGCGCTGCCGGTTAGCTCTTAACCGTTAAAAAGAACACTCGTCCGCATATTCAACATTGCGGCAGGTTGTTATTAATAACACCAAAATCCATGCCTTACACGCATGGGGAATTTCATCCTGAATCCTAAGAAAGGATATGCCGACGCCTAACACGCGTCGCCGGTTTAGTCTTTCGCCGTAGAAAAAGACACCAAAAGACCAGTCTGGGATATTTTATCCCGAAACCTAAGTAGGGATAAAGTCAACACCTAACACGTGTTGCCGGGTAGCCTATTCCCGTAACAATGGCGAAGTCTATGTATTCGACATCATAGCACGAAGTCTAAGGGAGTTCATTCCCTTAGCACAACGTTACATGCGGAACGGATTCCGATAATCCGCATGCTAGCCCGACTCAAACGGTAGTCGGTAAAGGCTAATCAAACCCGTTGAAGGCTGGGGGTTAGCCAAAAATCCTAAAGTCAACACCTAACACGTGTCGCCGGGTAGCCTATTCCCGTAACAATGGCGAAGTCTATGTATTCGACATCATAGCACGAAGTCTAAGGGAGTTCATTCCCTTAGCACAACGTTACATGCGGAACGGATTCCGATAATCCGCATGCTAGCCCGACTCAAACGGTAGTCGGTAAAGGCTAATCAAACCCGTTGAAGGCTGGGGGTTTGCCAAAAATCCTATGAGTATTATGGTCAATCATTTCAAACGGAATGAGGAATCATAATAAAGATAAAGACAAAAATCAGGTCCACTAAAGAGAATCAAATGTCAAGGTTTTCAGCAAATAAAATCATACATCAAGCCCATGGCTAAGAACCTGCTGACTGAATTCAGACAGCTTCTCATCATAAGAGCGTCTAAGCTCCTCCTGCAACTCAGCTCTGACAGACTCTTCGTTCGCGGCTAAAGTCCTCACAGCAACCTCCTCTGTCTCAGCCAGTGTCTGCTTCAAGGACTTCAGCTCATCAGATAAAGCAGCATGTGCTTGCTGATTTTGCATCTTCGCGTCTTCCTTCTCACGGAGTTCTCGTCGGAGCTGATCTATCTGAGAATCAAGCTCCTCAAGGGAAGATGATCTAGTGGCAAGATCAGCCTCAACTCGATCTATGCGGCCCCGCTGCACCTGAATCTCGAGCTCGGCAACCATCCGAGTACTGCGCCATGTCTGTAAGCGAGCATCCAACTCGGCAGCAACGAATGAAGAGGCACCTGTATCCCGGAGCTCATGAAACATCTGAAGCTCACGCTCTAAGCGATCAAGGTCATCAACCATAGCCGTCGCCAGATCCGGACATCCTATGTCCCTAATCAAATTTATCTTGGAATCGAGGTAGGGCTTAAATTGGCGAAGAGCCTCCAGTTCTCCTCTATAAACATTTTGAACTCTGGTCCTCTCGAATTCAAAATCTTTTAGAGTCCTCTCCCCTTGGACGGTCCTAATCCCTGTCCTATTAGCAATGCTGTTATAAGCATCTATCTTAGTTCGCAGACGACGTTGCCGTTCGTACAAGTTCGCAACGATGATTTCTTGCTCTGATATGTGTCTCGCTCGGGCCTTACGCTCGTGCATCCTCTGAATCTGAGCATCGATCATGAGCGGTGTGACCTCATTATGTGGGTCGTAGTGTACTAGCTCTTCCAAACGATACATGAGTTCCTCTAAGCAAGTCAACCTTAACTCACATCGTCCAGCTAGCCAGAGGCCACCTACATGCTGAATGTCTTTAAGACTATCTGTTATGAAAGGGAGCAAATCATAAAATCTGGCCGTTTGTTGCATGACTTTCTCTAATTCTTGGAGGATGCCCTGCACGGATTCAGGGACCGGGAGGACAAATTCTGGGCTAGGCATAATTGCAGCAATGGGATCCTCTTCCCCTTCATCATCGGATATCAGGATGATTTCGGGTCTCACCGTCCTCCTATCGTGGGAATTCAACCGAGGAAGTGGACCAATAGCCTGTCTGGCAGAAACCAAAGAGAAAACCTCCGTAGGGAACTCGGCTGCAACAAAGCAAGGATAGAGTCAGAAAATTATCCATGAATTAAATCCGTCTTATAAAAGAGCGAAATAAGATCATCCACGGGGTAATTGGAGAGACGATTTTGAGTGTCTTACACTGGAAGAACGGTATGCATCATCACGTAAATAACGTGGTAACATACACCGACCTACAAAGTGTAAAATAACACGAAATCGCCCCAATATACCGGAAGATTTGAACTTGCCAAGCAAAGCCCATCTTTAAAGCGTCGATCCTCACCAAGGAGAATCAAGGCTCTTCCCGATTGCCTCACCAAGGAGAACAACGTGGGGATATAAAAAAAAGGACTGATTTACAAATTTCCAGAAAAAAGAGGACTAATTTGTAAATTTCCAAATATACCAAAAAATAGCTCACCAGCGTACGAGGGAAGCACGCCATCAGCCGACACAGCAGGGGAGCGACCTCTCGGGACACGCGACATGATAATCTGCGAAATAAATTAGGGGATCAGATCCAGAAAAAATTCCCCTTTTTATTGTAATTCTACCCCCCTGAAAGATGAGCTCGAGGCGCCAAATCATAATCCTAACCCTCACATGCGATCCCACAAGTTCATAAATTGAATTAAGCATGAAATATGCTAAAATTGTGGAGGATTTACCTGAGGGAAAGCTCGAAGATCCGACAAAAATCAAATTTTGAAAGAGGCTCAGACCACGTGCTCGAGGGGCCTGAGAGGAATTTCTGTATGAAGATTTTTGAGGTATTTTTCAGCCTAAGATCCAAAGGAGGGATGGATCTAGGGCAATTATAAAGATTTGAGAGAAAAAGGATGCAAGAGGGAAGAGGAATCTAAGAAGTAGGAGGAAAGGGTGGCCGGCCCTAGAAGGAGAAGGAAAAGAGGCTTTTATAGCCTTGAACCAGTCTTGAACCAGCCCTGAACCAGACCGGACCAGGTTGAACCAGACCAGACCAGTCCAAATCAGTTCAAAAGAGGCTAAACCAGGCTGAACCAGGCCAAACCAGACTGAACCAGACCAGACCAGAATGAACCAGTCTGAACCAGTCTTGAACCAGTCCTGAACCAGCCTTGAACCAGGTTGAACCAGCCTTGAACCAGGTTGAACCAGTTTGAACCAAATTTGAACCAGAATTCAAATTGAAGCCGAATCGAGCATCAAAATAACTTCAAATCGACCGAGGGTTCAGTCCTTTTGAAGGAATCAAGAACAGAAGCCATTCCAAAGTCCCGTTACACCGACTAAAGGTTGGGACAATCATATCCAAAGTATTCCAGACTCTTCTATAAAAGAACGAGGCTGAAATACTTTGGAGGGGGTATCTGTAGGCGTATAAAATTGCTTATAGGTCCCTTAGCACAGCTCGGCACAAACCGACGAACCATCGGGCGACATATCCAAACACGAGCGTCAGTCCACAACGCCGAAGCCAAGTGACACGCAACGAAGCAGATTAACGAGAGGCAACGAGGCTAACGAACCGTACACAAACAATGGAATACATCCATTCGCATGCGGAATCAAGCTAACAGTTCGGTGTGTCAACGAGTCATCCAACCATAGAACGGATTTGAACTCAAACACCGAGGCAGATTTACTGCCATATTGGGATTCAGACTGTCAAATCAGAGTCCGGATCATTAACGAAGCGTAAAACCGGACAACGGACACAACACGGCAACACCTGGAGGACTCGGCCAAAACCGAGCCACCTCTAGGTGGCTCGGCCAAAGCCGAGCCACCTAGAGGTGGCTAGGTGGCCGAGCCACCTCTAGGTGGCCGGCCCAGATCTGTGCCAAGGTACAGATCTGAGAGCCTATAAATAGAGGGCTTGAGCTCATTTTTTGAAGGTTGGAACTTCGAGAGCCGAAACTCTGCCGAATTGAGAACTGAGCTTGGAAGTTTTGAAGACTTGAAGACTTGGACATTCAGATCTGGTTCTTGGCGAGCATCCACGTCACAAAAGGCAGGAGTTCGAGAGAGAGAAATCAAATCTGAGATCTACACGAAGTAATACTTCGGATCAAAGTTTGGCCTTTGATCCCGAGAACTAAAGGCTATTATTTCCTTGGTGAAATAGTACCCCCCGGCTATTATTTCCTTAGTGAGATAACACCCGTCAAATCGTGTAGATCCGACCGGATCTAGATCGCACGGTGGTCCACGGATTAACCCCGGCGTTGGCAAAGAACCCACACAAGCGAGTGACCGCAAAACAGGAGCTCATGATTCGTTCGAAAAGAAAGTTGTAATCTTTTTATTTTTTTTCATTGATTTCGTTGTAACCGGATCTTATAAAAAGACCGGATCTTTTGTAAACAAAAAGCAATTACTTGAGAGAACAATGAAATCAATGAAGAACACAATTTTTCCCACGAACACGCGCGATCTAGATCCGGTCGGATCTACACGGTATAACGGGTGTTATCTCACGAAGGAAATAATAGCCGGGGGGTACTATTTCACCAAGGAAATAGTAGCCTTCTCGGGATCAAAGGCCAAGCTTTGATCCGGAGTGTAACCGCGTAGATCTCAGATCCGATCCCTCTCGAACTCCTGCCTCTTTTGACGTGGACGATCGCCGAGCACCGGATCTAAAAAAGTAAGTCTTCAAAGCTTCAAATCTCCAAGGTTTAGATCTCAATTCAGCAGAGCTTCGCCGTCAAAAATTCCAACCCTTCAAAATGAGCCATGCCTAGCCTATTTATAGGCACTCGAACCTGTGCCTTGGCACAGGTGGCCGGCCACCCATGGGTGGCTCGGCCACTGAGCCACCATGGGGTGGCTCGGCCACCCCATGGGGTGGCTCGGCCGCCGAGCCACCCGGGTGACTCATCTTTTGGCCGGGCTTCGCCGTTGTGTCCGTTGTCCGGTTTTGCGGTTTATCCGAGTTTTATTGTTGATCTGGACTCTGATTTGGTGTCTGGATCCTGATTTAGCAGTAAATCCACTATGGTGTTTGAGTTCGAATCCGTTCTATGGTTGGATGACTCGTTGACTCACCGAACTGTTAGCTTGATTCCGCATGCGAATGGATGTATTCCATTGTTTGCGTACGGTTCGTTAGCCTCGTTGCCTCGTTAATC